GCGGGTATATTCGACTGAAAGCGGTTGGAAGGGGCGGGATTATGGAATATGATGATGTGTGATTCTGATGAGTTTCGTACCGATCGGAGGGGCTAAAGTTAGTGGGCCGATTTCACGTCTTATGCGGACTCCGCCTTTACTAACACATGAGTGGTTTTAGAGCTTTTTGCGAAACCCACTTAATGAGAACCCTAGACGTCTCTTAAGTACTACTTAATTTTCCCCCTTAATTGGACCTTTTTCTAAACTTAAACGATTTCTAGAATTGGTGCATCCCTACTCTCAAGAATATCTGCGAAGTAATCGTACTTCGTGGTTTTGATTCGAAAACATTACTTAAGGGTACTCTCCCTTTTCTTTGGTCCTCTTGGAAAACATGGAAACCAAAGCTCGATCGGCTTCAAAACTTTTATCAGAGATTGGTCATCGAAAAAGAAAATCGATGCATTTTTGTTCAGAATCTTGTGTTATTTCCTTCATTGGATTTTCTGGAAAACTCTGGTTTCCATCCAGTCACATTATGAGCCTTCGAAAAAATGGTGCGATCTACAGGACTAACTTCTTTTTAAATTTGTATGCGCTTCCGTAAATTTTTCGAAAGACTTCATCAAATTTTTTTCGTGTTTTTCACCATCGAAAAAAGATTTTTCTTCTCAAAAACCGTTGTTTTGTAGTTTTCTTTATTGAAGTATTAATGTGCCCTCTGGCAGATCCGATGGTAGTTTTTCTGAAAGAAAATTAAAATAACCATCGACTGGGTTAATAAGATAGTGTTATCAGAATAGGTCTTCGTGGCGCTCATTTTCTACACATGTCAAAAATTTCAATTTTTTGTGTATTAGAGCGCAACCCAAGTCATGTCTTGAGCCCTCTTCTATCACAAACGTTGAGACAAATGTGAAAAGCACCATACTCAACCATTGATCTTTTACAATCAGGACAATCCATTTTTCAACTGCGGTAACAAAAAATAATTTTTGATTAAAAGAATAGTTCCTTAGTAAACAAGAAGTTATGAGTTAGTACTTACCTTTTCATTCGGTTCCATTTCTTCAACAATGGACGTCTTATATTTTTCACGTATAAATTGATAGACACGTATTTTTGAAATTGATTTTGATTTTGACATTTTGGAATCCGATTTATTTAACATAATTAATGAATCAATATCAAACACAAGCATTGATCTGTTGTATTCATTACATTCAAGAAATGTTGTAGTTAATAATTCAAATATTTGATTTTCATCAAATGCATTTTGTTTTATTAAAAAATTTAAATCAATTGTTTGTATTGTATCAATATTTCTCGTTGAACAACCATGTATAGAACGTGCTAATAAGCGTGGCACAGATGTTTCATCTTTTTCTAAACCTTTTTCTAATGTTGGTTCATTTTGTATTTCAATAAGACATTTACGATCAGCATAATCAATTAATATACGTCCTGGTGGGATTAATTTTCAACTTCTAATGAATAATTATCTTCATGCTGTGTGGAATTGATAATGGTTGGATTTAGACGACATATTTCAGGTAATGTACTAATACCAAATCAAACATTAAATTCGCGTGCTACATTATCAGCTAATTCTAATAGACGATGATCTTTAATATTTGGATTTCCATCCATTTCAATAATTATATTTGATCTGAATGCACTAATTGCAGTACCACTCAAGTTTGTGGTGATTTTAACTAAGGACTCTAGACGTTTTGGTGTAAATACACGTGAATCTTTACAAACTAATGGTGTTAACATATTATTCCGTATGGCTGACGATGGATGATCAACAAATACTTTTGCTTGCGTTCGTCGAAGAAAGGCTTCATCCATCATGTTACGACAATTTATAGCACCAAATACAATTAAATTTAGAATATTTTTACACCTTCAATATGTGATAGTAACACACTAATACCATCAACTTTTCATTGTTGTGCATTATTGTCACGCTTTAGTACGAGACCATCAACTTCATCGATGGTCATTGCACAGATTAAAAAAGGAACGGTATTCGCGAGATACATAATATCAACAAGAAGTTTTTCTGTTTCACCAACATACGGTCGATTCAGTTCACCAGCAGCCAATGGCTGTGTGAGCATTGTTATACCTGCATAAATTGCCACTTGTTTAAGTAGCTCAGATTTTCCTGTCACGTGTTACAAAAAAATGAAATAAACTATCACTTTAACATGAACTTTTATAATAAAGATTAGGCATGCACCGAACCCGAACATTCGATTTCGGCGAATTCGGCTCGGGTTCGAGTTCGATCATTTCCAGTCAACTGATAAATAAGATCGCTTGTTTTGGTCCGGGAATTTGAGTGCTCAACTTCAATCATGCCGGTTGACCGTTAGCCGACCAGCCGGTACCGGTTACAACCGATAACCGGTTACACCCGCTCATCGGTTAACCGTAACCGGTGCATCTCTAAAGTTGCACATCTAGAATGCACCATGTGACGTGCCAGAAACACACTGGCAAAATTTACACACCTGCGAATATAGAGAGACTTTTACACACCTAGAAAAAAACACACCAGTTTGATTCGCATTTGCACACTTAGAACTTTTACACATTTACGG